CTTCTGGGAAGCCACTACAGTAAATATCAGTTAGTATATATTTCATATCCCAATTCCCCTCCAACGGACGAACATCGAACATGGAGCTGGGGGAAGCTGTTTTGCAAAACTGGAGAAAGAAGCACATAATGTAACCTTGGTAGCCACTTTGTCGTGGTAATTGTGTCTTTCATTTATTGATCTCCTCTCGGAGTGACGTCGTAGACCGTCATTAGATACATGATGACTTAGCATGCTGACATAATAACAGGTGAAGAAGGTAACACATAATGTGTATTAAATGCACTGCAGATGCCCTGTAAAGAGCGTTTAAACGAGCTGAGAATGCACTTACGTCAGGCCTGCAGGGAACATGGTGCCGAAGAGTTAAAAAGGTAGCAAAATGTGGTGGGAATGATGATGGTGGCCATTGTGTTGCTGCGTCTGTTGATGTTCGCTGCAAGTTCGAGCCTTATTTCCACACTTATAGAGTAAAACTCTTAACATGGTAATTAAACAACCAAATAGTCGGAATGCTAGTTAGCTATTGTAATATGGCTGGAATTTGCGGGAGAGAATAAGCCTTGGAACATGTAGGTTCAGAGGTGCCGCCAACGCCCTTCCATTAGCGTCCACCGAGGTACATCGGTTGGAAATGTTATTCTTATAATGAAGGAGAAACCAGGCTGAGAAAACGCGGGATGGTACGGTATCAGATTATCTGGCAAGTGACATGCTACCAATTGTTGGCTCGACCCTAACGGCATGAAGTCACCCTTAAATGCCGTCGTAGACGTCAACTCAGACGAGCCATCGACATCAGAAGGACAAGCGTTGGTTTATGACCTGGCAGTGTTAAAGAGGATTTCGAGCTATGAGGATCGCTTTAGTTGCTCTGTGGGTATCAAAGCTTCCGAGGTAGGCTAACCATGCGCAGTGCGTAACTGCATCAAGTCAACCCGAGGGTGGGAACACCCCATGCATGCGTCCAAGTAACTAAACCTGCCTACCATTAATGTGGGTTCGCTCTTTTGGAACGTTTGACACGCAACGGAGGTTGTGAGGAGGAGTGAGAACCTGAAATCGAAGCTGAAGAATCAGCCATATTTATAGGGCTTACTCTGTGCCGCATTCACCTCTCCGTATCTTCACTGTGTTTACTTCACTGGCTTTCCCTTCACTGTGCGAAGATGAGCCGCCATGAGTAAGCATCGGAATAACGCAAGCTAGGCCTAAAGCAGGTATCCATTCACCGGTATATCACATGACGTGAATAAATGTGGGCTTTATCATGTGACCCATAAATAGCCCCTTACCCCTGAACCTGCAGCATAAAACTCTGCTCGTCTATGTGTCAAACACATACGACCACAGGAAGTGGAAAACAGAGCTTCCCGTCCGCTCAGCTGTACTTAAGCCACTTGCCGGTCGGTTAGTAGTTGGGTGGGTGACCACCAGCGAATCCCGACTGTCGTATGTATTTTTTTTTGTTTGTTCGTTAAATAGTTATTGCTTACCCCCTGAATATACCGTACGTGAAGCCACCCGAATTCGCCGCGCAGCAAATGCATCATTATTTGAGGCGGCACAATCATACAGATCATATTACTACCTCCTATCATGGTCATGATTAGCTACGGAGTACGTAAGTAAACTTATCGGAGTGGATAGATGATATTACTATTCTGCTTTTATAACATATTCATCTATCTCGACCTCCCCTAAACGACTCCTGAACGATTCCTGAACCATTTTTGGCGATGTAGACAAAACACAATATAGAATACTAATTCTTTACCGGTCGATTCTCCTGCCAGCGCCGCGCATATATATATAAAGTGCAGAGCTAAATACCGAAGTCAGTGCAAGCTAGAGTATCACCATACTACTTGAAACATTTCTTGAGTAGCCCTTGGACGAGGCTATCCTTGCGCACGAATTCTTGCGAGAAGCTCTTAAGGCCATCAGCCTTGAGTGCACGACGCACATTTGCCGCCTTTTTGAATGCTTCACGTGCCCCCTTGACCTGGACACCTTCAACCCCGATCAGTAGACCAAGAATGGCAAAAGGAGCTGCCGCCGGGTTGTCGACAATATCAACGACCGAAAGAGCAGCGTTGCCGATCTCACCAATGATAAGGGCGGCCGTAGCAAACCTGGTAGCGATGCCAGCTGCCTGTCCTGCAAATCCCACAAAAGGTATAATCGAAAAAACAATGGATAGAATGTTAAGGATAAGCTCCTTCTTCTTCGTATCATGATGCTCTTTGCCAATCTTTTTGATTTCCTCGATCGATTTGGAAGCGTCTTGCAGCATAAAAACAGGCATGCTGAGGGATGTGATAACGTCGGTAATGTCAGCATCTAAGATCCCCATATTCAGCTCATAGGATGTGATATATGCAAGGTCCAACACATCGTCTATATGAGGAATCGCTTTATCAATCAGTTCCTTAGGGTCCTCAACTTTGATCTTACTCTTATCCAGAATGCGGCTGGGCACATTCACATACTTCACGTAGTTGTCGGCGCAAGGTTTTGGTGGGCAGAACTCATTCTTTGGAGGACAGGTGGGGCAGTAATCTGGCTCGGTAATTGTTGTCCATTCAATCCACTCCTTACTGATGCCAGCGTCTTTCAAGAGGGCATTGTAAAATCCTTCCTCGTCTCTCACGGTATATTCGACAGTGCGGCCTCCAGGGTCGGCGTGGTCCGGGTCGTAAAGGTTCACTTCCGTGCAAGGACCTTCTCCCTTCGCATAAGGTGTAGACCACTTACAGTCCATGTATTTGAGACCCTCGCCAGTTTTTAAAGCCGTGAACTTCATCAAACGGGGTTCGATGGAGTCCTTCACCCAGTCGGCGTACCACTCAAACTATCTTGCGTTAGTCTAGATCCATCAAAGAAAACAAAGAAAAGATTCAAGGAACGCTGGCATAGATGGCATACTCTTTGCTTATAATCATCTGAAGACGAAATTTCCCTGTACTTATCAACCGCGCCTTCAAGCTCCTTAGTTAATATATCCATCAGGGCCATGCCACGGCAAGGTATCGGCACCTTGCCGATATTTGCGTCTAAGTCCTCGAGGGTCTTGGGCCATGCGTTTGGATCACAGTCGAGATTACCTGGTTCAACAGTCCAACCTATGGTTCCGTTTTCCTTGATTCCAGTAAACCAATCCCCTAAATCAAGGGCCCAGTCGCTAATTCCGCCCATATTCAGACCTTGAATCCATGAAATTCGCTTTGCTTTAGTATTATCATCCATATATGCAACCCAGTCAGTCATGCCCTGACCTCGTGTGCCGTCTAAATAGTTAAGTCAGCAAATGATAATAATGTATAGACGACAACTGGTATGAAGTGATAGATGGGGAGATGGCTCGTATCCATTAGCAGGAGACATTTCAACATACTATATCATAGTTAGCAAGGTCCAAAGCTATATAGAATTTAGTGAGCTAACCAGGTCATAATATCTGAGTCCGTCTCGGCATCATACCACTTCTTAGCCTCGAAGCCCTTTTCTCCTTTATCGGTATACTCAAGAATTTTCTGAAGTTCAGCATTTGCAACTGTTGTCTTTAAGTCAGTGGTCTTCGTAGACTTGGTAGAAATGCTGAACGAATGAAGATATTAGGACTCACTATAACCACCCGTGCCAGTGCATTGACCTGGCTCTGCCTCTGAATGCCCATAAGCACCAGTAAATGTACACTGCGGGCCGGTGCAACTTGGGTCTGACATTCGAAAGCTTCGCCCGTAGCTAGAAACACCCACAAAAACCTTTTCAGGTACCACACCAGCCTTTGTGATCATAGCAAGGGCGCTATATGTTTCTGTGCGGTTAATATGTGAACGAAGGCAATTCCCATTCGGACACCCAGGGTTTGCAAACTTGTTCCCGTAATCTAGAACTTTGGTTAGAGTCTCTTTGCTGGCCATTAATTTTACGGAAGTTGGGAGTATACATACCCCACTGACCATGAAGATCATACGTCATGTAAATGAAGTAATCAACGACCACTGAAATTGCACGAACTGGGAAGGGTTTAAGGTACCAGTACGACGCTGGAATAGCAATAGAAAGGGATCGTGATCCTGGGGCGGTTCCGAGAAGGACTCGTAATTGCGTAAGAAATCTGTAATAATTCTCTGCGTCGTAGGGGTTTGATGCCGGAATTCCTTGGTCCGTGGCACCAGGGTACTCCCAGTCAAAATCAATGCCGTCCAGATTATGGCTATCAAGGAACTTTACAACGTTTTGAGCGAATTTATACCGATTCTTTGGGCTTACAGCCTGCCGATAGCGACTGTAAGTTCCAGGTTCCGTTGACTCGGCCCATCCACCCACTGATAAGATCTTTTTGAAGGGTGCCTTCATCGAATTGAATAAATCGAATTGCTCCCTAATATTGTCTCCAATATTGATGTTGAAGTCCTCTGTAAGACCTGCAAACGCAAAATGCACGTGGGTTAGGTCTTTAAAATTCTCCTCGATCTTTCTAGCGTCAAGGTATAAACAGTCCCGGTTGAAGTTATACGCCTGAAAGTAACCGACCCGAGCAAAACTACCTCCCGGAGTCTTATTACCCACAATTTCAGTACCGCAATTGGAGATACAGCCATTAGTACCATGTTTAAAAGAACCAGGCGCACCTGTATCAGCCGGGAACTCGGTGCAGAATTCAGCGGTTATACCACAAAAGCCCCAGCCTGAGCAACATGCATTCAAAGGGCATGGATTGAGCTTTGCTAGATCCCAACCATCAAATTCACCAGAGGGTTTCCTAGTTCCGGGTTTCTGCGGGCCGCAATCAACTCCAGCAATTTCAGCTGGCATAGGGGTATTTCCTTTACTAAGACAGATAACTTGGCCAGGCTGAAGTCTGTTACAGCCGGACCAGCCCCAGGTCCCCCTATTTAGTTTGTCTATATCGTCTACCGTAATCCCATAGTTGTCAGCGATGGCAAAGCAGCCATCTCCGACAACGACAGTATGTGTAGCACATGTGCCGTCAGGTTGGGGCTTTGGTCTCTTGTCTGGAAGAGTGCCTTCCGAACAGCAAACCCACTGCTTTGGCATTAGGGTCGAGCAGAGATTTGTCATAGAGTTGAATTTGAGGAAATCGCTGCCGCGAATACCACATCGTACTGATAATGCCGTGCAGCTGTCTCCTACGCCGACCTGGATGGCTCTGCAGTCCGCTCTAATTGCGAGTGAGTGAAAACCAGACTTTGCGTGCGGTAACATTGGTCGGGTATGGCGCCATATAGGCCGGGTATCCAGTTCAGTGAGATTGCTAGGCTCACCAGCAGTGAGAACACCTAGCTCAGAAATGGTTGCAAGGACTCGACTCCTGGGAAAATAAAGACACCCCCCGTTAGTCCATTGTTTCAATGCGCTCTGGACCATATATAAGTCCTCGGTTTTTTCAACCGCAAACAGGCCAACAGTGCGTGCTTCCTTGATTGAGGTATTACACGACTGTATAGCCTGAGCCCCCTTTTTGAGAACAACACCTATAAAAGAAAAATCAGACACACGAAGTATACGATTGAGGCCGGAATAAAGGACGAAAAGAGAAAATTGTAAGATAGGCATTACTCCCGACCGGTAATTAAGTCCGAAGTTTACCGCACTTATTCAGAAAGAGGTAAACGGGAGTTCCTTACTAAGAAGCGTAGGCGACGAAGTTAGCTTCGGCGAAATGACATTGTGAAGTTTAAAATCTTACCCGAATTTATTGATAGTTTTAGCAGCCGCAGTAATCTGGATATCCGCACCAATATATAGACCAACGACCACGGAGCCCAGTTTGGCGAGAAGAATTTTTTCACCGCAAGAAGCTCTATTGGCAAGGTGGGATGACAATATGCTAACAGCGAAGGCAGTATCATCCCCTGGCTTGAGAATGGATGGGTTGATGGTAAATAGTACATCTATAATGACCCCTTTCGCACCACAAATGGATGATGAGGAGACGGGTGTGATAGTATTGGGTATTAAATCCTGAGTTTCATCTGTTGCATTCTTTGTGATATTGATTGAGTGGTTTGTAACGGGGATGGATGAGGCAGCACGCTTAAGTATTGGCTTTTCGGAGCTAGCTGTGCAGGCGCGGATTATCGGATGTCTGGTCTCAGTACTTTGAACGTTAAGGTCGAACAGTAGGGGCAATTTGCAATCCGTGAGGGATGGCTGGGTGTATAGAAGTGTCCAATTGGCAGGATCAGAACCTACGACGCTACAGGGCTGAGGGCATCCATCGATGAGCCTCGAGATCCATGGATCATCAATCTCGCCAGGGCTCAACTGAGTTATTGGGACGGTTCCTAGACCGAATTGATGCTCCGTTGACTTGAATCCTGTAGCTTTGAAGACTGTTGGGTAAGACTCGATTCCTAGTTGTGTATGATTCCGGCTCGCTGCCTCGACGGTAAGGAGCGAAAAGAGCATAAGAAACGAGAATCTCCCCATGGTGGAAGTATCACAAGTTGAAAGCGAGTGATGGAAATTTGGTTGGCCTCACAGTTGCCCTTGAAATAAGGCCAGGCCACAGTCCTATTTTAACGTCATTATGAAGCCAGCTGTGATGTCCCTTTTTCTACACGGGCTGAAATGCACCAGCATTATCCTCTTTAGGCCTCCGAGGCCTTGCTGCCAACACGGCAACAAAAATGGGGCCGAGTATTTCCGTGTAGAGGAAGAGAGAAACCAACCAACGCCACAGTCGGGGTTCGGCCATGAATGGTACCTGCTTCTATCCATAAATGAATCCCCGGAAGAAAAAGAGAAACGTGACCAATAGCTGGCCTAGCCTGCAGGGGTGAGAGAGAAATAGTTACAGGCTTGCTATCAGAAGCGAATATGCATGCAGGCCAATATTTCCATGCATCTATGCCCAGCTGTCAGGTGAATTTATTCAAAATATCATCTTGGCCAAGTTATGCTGGACCGTTAGCGCGGCGCGATGCATGTTTGCTGGTCGCCCTTGCCATGTCGTTATACTAAGCAATCTTGGCGCGCGATCTCGTCGGGCGCTAGTGATTTTCGCGAACCCTAATCTTATTACCCAGCCAATCATCTTTGGGTCCCTGAATATAAAGGAGTAGCACTAATAACACTAAATGTTTGGACATATATACATATTCGCGCGCATCAAGGTCGCCCTGGCCACAGCGGCAATTAGTTCTATTGTTGTCCGGCATGGCCCCCAGCCCCCATTTCCCTGGGGTCGGGTACCACATAGAAATTAACCTGCAATTGAACCTTCTACCGGCAACTCAACGAGCCTGACTCCACTATACTATCTGCTTATCCGAATAGTATCAACCTCTGGCCCTGGCAGGCCCTCGCATTATACCCAAGCGGACTCGAAAATTACACTTTCTTGAGTAGCATTAGCAGTATGGGCTGTTCTTGGGGTCTACCTTCGGTTCTGTGACCAGCGTCACCGCCGTGTGACAAGTAGATGGTGATATTGAGCCTTTTCCATACATATTATCCCTCATTCCAGGTCTATATTCTTATTGCGTAAATCAAATAGGTCTTTCAAACTAGAAATACCGAACGGCCACTCTTCTCAATTAATCATCTATCCTACCATTATACCCATAAATTCCAATTGTGAAGCTAGGCATCCTCAACATGCGCAGTATACTGATTACTTTCCTCCTTATCTGGCTGCTGTCTCTTTCCAGTTATGCTACGGGGGCCAAACCAAAGATCGCAGACAGTCAAGTAGCCCACGTCTTTGAGCGAATATGGCTGTGGGAAATGTATGACTTCATCTGGTAAGCTCTGCCATCGTCCCTAGCTTTTAGTTTAGCTGCATCGAATTTGCTAATTCCTTAAATTAATAATTGTTAGTGATATTGAAACCCCCGTTAAGCAAGGAAAGATCTTTCCTCATGACAAAACATACAACAACTGGAAACTCAATATAGGAAGAAAAACAAAGGATAAAAGACTCACCTACGCCGAGTTTCAGAAACGATTGCAGGGAGGAAACCCTCATGACGGTGCACTACCCACAATAGACTCTCCCGCTGATGGAGACCCTTTCAAGTCAGCCAAACAACTACTAGACCTTCGATGGCATAGCGAATTTGCACCACACGAGGTGGACCCGTCGCTCCCAAAACCTAAGGAGCCGGATGTTGAGGGTCTTAATACCAAGAACTATCTGGCTCTCGTCGGCAAGACGGAGGAGGAGTATTCACAGTTTCGCATGGGCCTAGTGAATAACCCTTTTGGCAATGTAGACGATCCAGCCCGCATCCAACGCATTGCGACCACTACCAAAGCTATCCAGACCTTTCGCTACCAGAGCAGGGTCCGGTATGTCACCAATTCGGTTACATCGACTGATGAAGGAGGGCTCGGGTTGGCGAAGGTGAAAACAGATAAACACCCGACGGCGTTGACATATAACGGCACACCACTAGGCCCCGCGATTTATGAGAAGACAAATTATGTAGAGACATACAAGGCAAACTGCATAGGCGAAGATGAAAAAAGACCAGGCCCACGGCTGAAAGCTCTAGGAGTCAAAAGGAAGAGTGATTTTACCCAGATCGTACGTCTGACTCCCCAGTACAAATTGCAAAACTATTCTGACTCGAGAAAAGATGAAAGACTTTGGTCGCGACTACGACAAGCACTCCTCTCGAAGCGACAAGAACCATCTTCTCGTGCTCAAGAGGTGGACCCAAGTTAGTGATAAAGCTCATTCGACAGCGGAGAAACTCAAACAATGCCAGTGAGCTAGATAACATGTTCGACGATAGGAGCACTGTATATTTAGCCGGTGACCAGATAAATAACTAGGCGGTTAGATGTTTGTTATATGCATGGTAGATCTATACAAAGGATTCTTTGTTTGGTCACAGTCATACCCTGTCAATTCCCCAAACTAGTTAGAGCAGCCGAGTAGCCAACGAGTTATGTGACTATTTAAATTGGCCAGCAGGTCGCACTTTTGTTCTCAGCAAACAACGCCAGCATAACCTCACCGGAGCCAGCAGTACCTTATAACTACGACCAACAGAAGCAAAACACGATGCACGGAGGAGTGTTAGAAGGTGGGGAGAAAAGATGCGATTGTGATGATATATTTTGCTACCTAGACGCAGACGAATGCATCCAGTACCAGGCCTATCAAGCCCGGCTCATCGCTGCCCTTCGAGGTGAAAATGTGCCAGACGAAGAACACCTTGACAGTCAATACTACGCCCCTCTTTGTCTAATTCGAGGCATCCGCTGTCACTATGAGTTTGCAGCCAGCTCCGCCGTAAAGGATGTTTGCGCCTCCCGTCCGGCTCTCGCCCGCGCTCGCAACGCTCGCCTTATCATGAGCAACGTGATCCCTGGGCCTGAAGACATGGACGACACTGACCGGACCAGACACCCCTACTGTATCTGGAACCCTGATATTGCGGCCGAAGATACCTATCGCCAGTTAGCCCAGCGCTTCCCGTCAATGCGCTATCAGGTAGGCCGCGCCTGCGCCGCTGCTGGATACGATGATCTATATGCAGAATTAGACCTGTTGCCAGACGTTTCAATCGCCGAGGAGGCGAGGGAGAGCGAGACACCGGGTGGACAGGCCATCTTCAAGATGATAATGGCTGCCCCCTATCGCTATGCTATTATGAATGACTACGACCTGTCTATCAACCTTGATAGTAAGAACCCCGGCGCTTCCGCGTTCCTGAACGGCCACACAACTGTGCGATGGAAACTTCAACACCGTAATGAGTTACAACAAAAGGCATACGGTTTTAGAATCTTGAGGGCGAGGACATGGAAATGGAGCATTGAAGAAGACGACCATATTGATGAAAAGGAGTCGTACTGGCCTGAGAAGTACAATATCCTCACTCCAGAGGAGGCTCAACTTCTTTACACCCCCCTCCCCCAGGATCTACCAACCATGAAGAAAGACCTTCTCATTCAAATGGCGGCTTACGATGGCAACGTAGACCGCTATGCTCGCCTGGCATCATACTGGCCGATGGATGAGGTTGAGCGGGTCTGCGTGATACGAGGAATATACTACAACACATTGTTTGCGCGCTTCTGGGCCGAGGAGATAAAGAAAAATACCCGACGTGTGCAAGGGCTTAAGAACAACGGACTATCACTTATCAAAGAGGCTATCTCTGCCCGCCGCATTATGATCAATGACGTTGAAGAATTCATTAACGGATGGCCGGAGGATGAGCCACAGCCAAGGGTTATCTGGAAGCCTCTAAAGCCGTGTGAACATGTACTCAAACTGCTCGCGGAGAGAGTTCCCTCAATGAAAAAGACGGCTGCGCTTGCATGCATATTTTGTGACTACGAAGACGCTTACAATGAGATCAACTGTACGCCACACCCCGACCTCGCCATGGCAGCAAAAGAATCTCGTAATCCGTTCTACATTCGAGACATTGAGCAAAGGGCTGCCGAACAGGGTATTGACCTTTACGAAAGCTACGTTATGCCAATATGGCTAGATGAGAGCCTAGAGATCCTTCAGTCACACAGTATGTATACAAATTTAACAAACGGTATGGGACTCCACTGGAGCGATGAGATCATGAAGAAATTTTCCAGCATTTTCGGAGGAGATGTCCCCGAAGATTATCCGGTTCAATTATACGTATGGGCATCACCCGAGAGACTCCGGCTGATTGAGATTTGCGAGACAAACTGTCATTGCCCTGCAATATGTTACCCGGACTTCGAGAAGAACTGGGAGGAATATGTTGAACGTGCCAAACTGCGCAAAGAACGCATGAGACGACAGGAAAGACGTAGAAAGGTGTTGGAGGCTGCCGCTCTTAGACGGCCCGGGGAGAGTGAAGATGCCTGGTGGGCCAGACAAAGTGTATATTTTTGGAAGTACAACGGACGCGTGCGCGCAGGGGAACCCGAATGGGTTGAACATGCTCAGAAGGTCAGAGAAAAATATGAAGCCATTGTTGCCAGGGAGGGCGGGGAGGTTAGTGAACAGGAAGTTTCCTCCCCTGACTCAATGATTGGGTAGAGCTAGCAGCCATTTAGTTATTCAATGATTCCTTCTCTTCATTCTCTCCATGAAGCACTGTCAGCTCTGACTACCTGGTAGATAGGCGAATGTAACCCAAGACATAGCATGCATATTTCATATATGTTTGTATCATGCCTTGTCCGCATGGGGATGGGAAGCCGGTATAGTCGGTGTAGCCCCTTTTCAGGACACCGATGGATGTGGTGATTAAAAAGTCTCGGAAAATGCAGCTAATCAACGGTATATATGAATCTCCAGACTAACTGAATCGCAAGGTTGTTTGTTATCCCTTGCACCATGCCTGCCGCAGCATCATATAAGTCATGGACAGGGGGTTTGATATATATTCCGCTTGGTATAAACTTCCAGACAAGGATTAAGAAGTGCATACTTTTCCCAGTGAACTTCTGGACAAAGGTCGACGTGCATGCGTTCTAGACCATGTTCACGCATATGCCCATTTATGTATGCACAGATACTCCCATGCGGCCCGGAGTTTCTCTTATCTCCCACCGCTGCCACCAGGCTATGAAATTCCTGGCAATTCAGATGAGTGTAACAGAACTGACCAATTCTCCCTCCACCTTGCTGCACAATCTCGGTAAAGGTTGGATATCTGGTTCCTGGTCGTTTGATTTGTCGAGATAACTGTGCGGCTTATAAGAGGAGAGATTCATATAAACCCCGGGATATAGGTAGACTATTTAACTTCACGAAATGGATTCCCAAGGCCGGAAACACATGTGCAAGCCTCTGGGCTAATGCCTATGCCTGCGTGTCAATCATCGGGTATACTCCAAAGCCATCATCAACCCCGACTCCAACAAAGCCCCCAAATGGCATTCAAACACCCACTCCGATCCAAAACGGGATGGCTACAAACTGCAACAAGTTCCATTTTGTTGAAACTGGGAATACCTGCCCAGTCATTCAGCCGAAATATAAGGTCACGTTGGCAGATCTCGTTAGATGGAACCCAGCAATCAAGGCTGATTGTAGCGGCTTATGGGCAAGGACTTATCTCTGTGTTGGGACGCTTTGAATCAACCAGCATTGGCAATATTCTAGCTTAACAGAATGTAAGTCTGTCTAGGTAGTTATGGGGAGTTCCATATCGTCTGCTTCGGGATTCGGCCGCCAATGTCGCGTTAGAGCTTTCATTAGCTAGCCAGATAACAAGCCCCGTAGGTAATTCACAATTTGATACGCGTTTAAGATGATGATGAGTTAGAAATCTTTTTAAGGTGGGTATCAAGAGATCCAGGCATAATAACTCCGGTGCAAGCTGATATTTATATTGAAAATGAGATGTGGGCTTTACTTTAACCACTAACCCTTCTCTCGCCTTTGTTTTTTCACCTCCTTCACACCCTCAACATCCAAGCGCCAGGGGGTGGAAAAGGTAGGTAGAAATGGAAGAAAACGCTCAACTCGGGCGTCGGTGAAAGAGAAAAGCAGCAGGATCTTGTTAAGTAGCGAGCGAGCATGCGGAAGCTTGGTTAAACTGTTGTCGGTCGAGGTTGTTTCGTCATGACGGCTGCGTGGTGACGAGATCCATTGGTTTGGCCCGCGTCTCGGATATACGATACGCCGCTAACTACGTCGAAGGTGAAAGGTTTAGGTTAAATGTGGCAGTGATGGCGTAACTAGCTAGTTATTCACTAGTTAACTTCGAGTTATATATACGAGACGCTGGCCACCGGATCCTACACCAGCTTCAACATCTCGTCACCAAAGACAGCTGTTTAACCAAACTTCCGCATGCCCGCTACTTAACAGATCTGATGCTCCTCCTCTAGCGTAGTGGCAGACTTTGACAAATATTATTACTTACGATGGATCATTCAAGTCACCAACGTCATATAAAGTTTTCGGAAGGAAAGTCAGCGCTGTGAACTAGCAGCTTGCAACTTTAACAACCCGACCTTACTTGCAACTTCTCTCACTTATATCTTTCCTTCCTCTCTTGTCAATAACTGCTCTATCATCAACTCCCCCCAATATCAAGCAAAAGGTACGTTTTAAGCCTGTTTGTTGCTTTCAATGGCAGAAAACACGCTAGTATTCGATATCTCAAGCTCTGAGCCCACAGGTATGACCTGCGTGCTCAGCTGCTTCTCGGAAAAGTTTACGCATCTTCTGGGTATCGAATAAGCACAGAGAAACGCATCCTAGACTGGGCCTTATTAGAAGTGGACGGCAACCGTGTCTCCAAGAACAAGTTACCTCCAATCGACGACATTCCTAGGAACTCCCGTGCGTTATACCTGGCTGCAAAAGAGGTTTTAGATGGGCCTGTTGCTTTGTGAGGGGATATGGGGGTCTGCAAGATCGGCCGAAGCACTGGATTCTCAGAAGGGATGCCAGGTGAAATCAGAGACCGATATCCAATGTTTGTTCCGGGATGCGAGTGATAACTGGGATAAACGGCGGGGTCTTGCATATCTAGTTTACCCAAAGGCTCCTCGGCTTAATTTTGAAGAACCAGGACATTCAGGATCGTTTGTCTTCGGCCTCCAAGGGTCGTTTGTTGGACTGTACATGGGAGGGGGGAACTGGCTTGTTTATCAAAGCCAGTGACCTATGTGAGGATATCAAACAAGTGACAGGAGCCTTAGATGTTCGCATTCCGTCGTGACAGAGAATGTCTTGGCTTAACCACTCTTCGTTGTTGTGTATTAACCATTCGTTAGCTATAATATCAGTACAATGGAAAGGTATATTTCCAAACCCTTTTCCACAAAAACCAATGGCATATATAGCGCAGCAACAAAAATCTAAATTATTTGGCCTCTGGTGCAATCGCAACTTCGTTAAATACTTGATCGGCCAATTGAAAATCTTTAGTTTGTTCTGAGGGTGCGTACCATCGTAGTTAGTTAAGTGTCAAACTTCAGCTCTGCCTACCATTAGTGTGGGCTCACTCCTTTTGGTGCAGTGGCAGGCTTCGATATTAAGTTAATCCCGTAGAGTCCCTTGAACGTCAAATTTATCTTTAAATTTGAAATGGAATGCCCGTGCGTTGATCTTTGCGGTCAACCTTAACGCCCGGGCCGCCGCACGGACATATGTGACGGTAAAATAATTATTCCGTTCCTAGTGCAATGCTGTAGCCAATCATATATTTAATTAGTAATACTCAGCGGTCTGTCCAATTAGCAAAGCTTTATATGATTCTGAGAGAGTTGATTGGTTAGGGTGCAAATAAAATTATTAAAAGATGCCTTCAATCAATAGCAATAGAGATCTTGAAGAAAGTAATATATGAGTGGAGAGAGCGCTATCTTTCCTCGTTTTGAAACACAAGCTAGATAGCGCTCACTCTCGCTGTAGAGGAAAAGGAATATTTGCTACTTCCCATTGGATTACGAATTAGCTATTAATCAGGTATATCTGTTGGTAAGAATATACATTTCAATTCGTACCCCCCTTATGCTTCGCTACGGGTTGGTGTTGGTTGGTTGTCTGAACGGGCCATTCAGCTTTATCCTATGAAATTTATGATTGGTTACTTTTGGTTACATCCATTATAGAAGGTGACGGAGGCGGATGAATGTTTTTACAGGGCGCGGACATATCATTTTATTATAGGGTGAGGTGAAGGGTGATTTCGCTGATCTTTGCTTTATGGTTGAGAGTGATTTTTTCTATTGATCTTGCTCCGTGTGAAAAATCGACGAGTTACCATAGGCTTAGTGGCTTCGTCGTGTGAGTTTTCGACCTGCTGAGCCATCGCTGATCTTTTTGCTGAACCGTCCTGGAACACGATTGCAAGGGCGTTGGAGCCTTGAAGGGCGTGATGAGAACTGAGAGCCAGTTAGCTGCAATAATCGTGTTCGTTTTGGCGCTAACCGTATTCGCTGCTGAGACGCCGCATCATAACGACAGAACTGACCACAGTTCACCGACACGGAGTACCGTCGACCGAGACACATACCTATATCAAGGTCCTACCATCACGCCCATAAACACTCATATCATTTTCCTAGTCCATGACTGCGGTGGCTCAAGTCACTTTCAGCAACAATGGCACTGGGCCTTCTTACCCTCCCCCTGGAAATCCGGATGCTGATCTTCTCCTATCTGCCCAACAGCATCATCAAGAACCTACGCCTAACATGCTCATCCATAAAAAATGCCACCCGTCTTGACCTGGACCGAGTCTTCTTATCCATTCAAAAGCGAGATATTGAGGTATTCCGCAACATAGCCAGTCATGACACTATGCGCCTGCAAGTCAAAGAAATCATCTGGGACGACGGCTCATTCAGCCAGAGTCCTCTTGAAGAAGTTGTAGAGCGGGACGGAGAGTATTATGGACAAGTGAGCGGTCTGCCGTATGAGAAGGTTCCTGCGGGGCAATACCGGGGGTCCTCACCAAAGTTCTGTCCAATTTGGTTCTCGCAGGAGTGCGATAAGAATATCTCAGAGTTCGCTGCAGATAAATTTGGTCCCAGAATGGCGGAAGAGCTAATGGAGTGGATGATGAAGCTTCGCAAGCCGCAGCCGTGGCGATCATGGGAAATGTATAAGGAGTATCTGCGAGACCAGCTTGAAGTACTTGATTCCGAGGCGGATGTTGAAGCCCTCAAGTTCGGTCTGGAGCAGTTTCCTGCTCTTAGGAGAATAACTATCATCCCGACAGCGCACAGGAAACTCCTTGAACCGTTATACCCAACGCCTAACATACGGAGCTTATCGTCTATATTCAATTACCCCATTCCGCAGCCATGGCCAGTCTCGAACGAGGATACATTTCCCGTCAACGCTACGCCATGGACCGAAGATGCCGAGGAGTTTCTCAAAGAAAGATGGCGAGGCTTCCGGGTAGTTACGAGGTGTCTTGCAGAGCAAGCTGGTAAACACCACGTTTCGGAACTGGTCATTGATCCGGGAAACCTCAAAACCGGCATTAACTACAATATCTTCAACACTCCTTGTCGAGAACTCTCTAACTTTACCACAATTCTGGAGCAACCTGGCTTCAAGCGGCTTGATCTGACTCTCTTTGTCGGTGGGGAGGAGGATATCGTCTGGATACCATTTAAAGACAGCCATTACCACTCCGTCTTTTCCAAATGCCCAGATCTAGAGCATATCACCTTCGGCACGGATAAGGGCATCTATGCAACTGAGGAGCTGTCGATGGACCATTTCACATCCCTGCTATCTCTTTTCCCCGTGCACAAGTGGTCGAAGCTCCGACACTTTGGTCTCTCAAGCTTTCCCGTGGTACAGTCTGATATCATTGACTTGCTCGATGCGATGCCTTTGACGCTTCGAACTGTCGAACTGACCGGGCTACTCTTCATCAACGACGGAGAGAATTACAAATCTCTACTGACTGCAATGCGTAACACGCTTAATTGGAAAGAGAGAGCCGTTGGGGACAGGCCACAGGTAACTTTCTGGACGAGAAGCTCTGCCAACATGCTGCATGCGCACATGGAGAAGACCGTCAGCAACTATCTGTATGGAGATGGAGGGAACCCGATGGTGGTTGGACCTAATAGGAAGATGTATTTTTCGGGGTAGAAACGTGATAGAATACTAAGAGAGAACTCTTGTCCTAGCCTTATGGAGGTCTTTGCGGGTTGTTGGGTGTTATTCATAGTTCTTCGTCACCTTAAGTAGTTGCATGCCTGATTATCCTTCCAACCGGCTGGCCACTAGTTCAGCCTTCTCTCAGGCCAATGGATATCTTTTGATCTTTTCTTAGATGCTCAGCTGTAAGGACTCTATGACTATGTTTATGTTTGTTGTTTTGTGTGGAGCTGCTGCTGGTGGCAAGACCAGCTTCCCTTTTGGCAAGTTAGGCCGAGCCAGCGTCATCCCGTCTATCTTAGTCACCGCAAGCAGCCCGAGAGAGTCCAACGACACACCCAGTGACAACCTCCGTCGACCAGCGGCTGACAGCTCATGACACGTCTCTGGCGCACATCTGGATCAATTGGTTAAGGATTTTTCGTTGACCGCAGCCCGCTGGACAGGCAGCTACTTTCTTGCAGCATCCAACCAGCTAGCTACAACCGGGGCTTACAGGGCTGAAGCAAGCTCGCCAACATCCCACTTCCACTCTAACCAACTACTGCGATGTTTGGCATCATCGCAGACCTGCTGGCGTGAGTCTACACCGACGAGCCGTTGGGCACGCACTGTATAACGTACAGTTAACTGACAATTCCGTCAACAGGGCCGTCGCCACGGTTCTCTTCCCGATCTTCGCATCGTACAAGGCCCTCCAGACCCGTGATGTGACCAACCTAGCTCCCTGGCTGATGTACTGGGTCGTCTACTCGGCCATCACCCTCGTCGAGTCATGGACGTTCTTCATAATATCTTGGTGCGTTCCCTAGACTGATATACGTCGAAACAGAATGACAAAATATACTGACAAGCGGACTGGCGGACAGGTTCCCGTTCTATAGCTGGATACGTCTATTTGCACTCTCCTACCTTGTCCTTCCGCAAACACAGGGCGCAAAGAAGCTCTATCTCGAACACGTCGAGCCCTTCCTTCGCCATCATGAGCGTGAGATCGAGGAGCTTATCGGCCAGGCCCATTCCCGCGGCAGTGCGATGGGACTGCAGTACCTGAAGAAACTCATCGATCTGGTCAGGACAAAGGCGATGGGTTTACCGCCTCTCTGGGAGGGGCAGGCACAGGGACACGCGGACACTACTAACGTTGCGGCGCCGTCCTATGCGCAGACTCTGTTTTCGCGGTTCAATTTGCCCGCTGTGGGTGCTGGGGCGGCTCCCGGCGCTGGTGGTGCCTCAGGTGGTTACGGAGCACCGGATTTCGTCAGTATGATAGGCAGTGTGCTGGGAGGAGCAGGAGGGGCAGCAAAGAGCCCTGACGCCCAGGCGGCGGAGCTAAGTGCGTCCGGCCGTCTGCTACCTCGCCATGTCGCTTCTGCCCCGCGGTCAGAGCAGGCAGCATACATCGCTTCCCAGCGAGACCATCTGAGGGTTCTCCTGTCGGCGTATGATCGGGAATTTGGAAGCCTTAGCTCTGGCGCTGGCGGTCCTGATGAATCCGTCGGAGGCTTCGAGAGCAGCGGCCTCCGCAAGAACAGAAGTGACAACTCGTTTGAGAACATCGAGCATGAGGACCTAGGTGCCTCGTCGGCCTTTGATACACATCGGTACGCCGACTATCGAAGGCCGAGGATGGGTGATTTCGAGTGAGGGGTGGCCATTATTATTATTGATTATTGGGTCTATGCATGCATCTTGGGTCAACACATATACATTCCATAACTATCCTAGGTAAATTACTGGATTTAACTACCGGCACCATCTCGGCTGGCTTTTTTTTTTTTTTTCCTTCTCTGAAGTAATAACGGGTAATTAGTTAACTAAGTCTCCAAGTCAGCCCGCAGAAGAAATAACTTCTTCATGCGAAATGACGCTGTGAGCCTTGCTCATGCTTACTCTCCTTACCAGCGAGTAACCTGTCTACTTGGTACGTACCACCATCGACCTGTCCACCCGCCTGTCTGTCCGCCTGTCTGTCCGCCTGTCTGCCTGTGGGCTCCATGGATCAAACTGGGCCTCCGTACGCCCTTACCTGTCTGCTCCATCTGCTCTTCCTGTCAGCCATGCATCTTCGGGCACATCCAAGGTAGCTTGGTGACTCCGTACTCTCCCGTATTATCCTTCGTTGCCGTCCCTTAACTTCTACGCCTTGCCTCTCTCTCTACCTTCTCTGCCGCCACTCCTTGCCCTCTCGTCTGCAACTGTCCGCCGTAACCACGCTCGACTAGCTCTTCCGCCCATCTCTTCCTCTCTTCCTATTCGCGCCTTCAACGCCTTAAAACTATTCAACTTCACCAAACAACGTGAATATTACCATATTTACTGTATCAAAGCGGTATTGTTTCTGGCTTAGTGCTGTATCAACGCGGTAATACAGTGATTAGTCAGCTTAGTAAGCACTGTTCATTCTGGGCTATGACGACATCGAGTAAACAACCATCGCGAGAACTTCTTGATATCAAGTTGCCATCCCAATATTATTATTATTACATGACTCATGTAAAAAAAAATTAATCTAGGCGCAAATTGAAGACGGCGCAGTCCGAAGCGATGCTGGCCTCTTGCTCGCTGTCCTCCGCCGTTCTCCAACTCCCTCCGCGTCTCTCCCGCTTCCACTCCCTCTTCATCTTCTCCATCTTCTTCTCCATCTTCAACTCTTTCTTCAACCCCTTTTCTTTCTCCTTTACTCTCTTTCTCTCTTCCTTCGACTCCTTCCTCAACTCCCTCCTCCACTCCTTGTCCGCCTCCTTCTGCATCTTCAACAGCCTCTTGGACTCCATGTTTCTCTCCTTGATTTTCTCCCTTATTTCCTTTGATTCTCTCTTCTCCGCCTTCTTCTTTTCCTTCTTTATCTGCCTCAATCCCCACTTCTCGTACCCCTCGCGTATCAACCCTTCTACTTCCGCGATGTGTCGTTTAATTTCTGCTTTATCTTCCTCCGGGTCACTAGTACCAGTCAGCCTG